ATGTTAGTCTGGACATTGGACTATGCTTTAGAAAATGGTTCTAAACTGAATTCTTCCAGAATTCAACATGAGCTCAGAATATCATAATGGTGCAACACAACAAAGTTAAGGAGGTCCAGCAGGTGATACTAATGAGCAGCAATTGCTCAAAGCCTGTAGGTTTGGCTCATGTTTTGAAAACTGTTTATGAAGCTAAATAGACATTGAATATTCAATAAATATGCAGGTGCTTGCAGGTGGATGACATTTTCCTTTGGGAGCTTACTTAGAAGAGATTTCTAGTGCACAGGCCTATTGGCAGATTGTACTTGGTGCAAGTGGGCAAATAATAGCTTTTGGAGAAACCATTTGGTGCAGGTATTTTTAAGATGTCCATTTAAAGGGATGTTACTATGGTTTTCATTAACACAGAATTAATAGTGTAAACATGTATATTCCTTTCTTAATTGGTCCACAACCTATTCTGTTTATCATGGTGAAATCTGGGACACCTGTGAGGTATTGTGGTCTTCCCACCACCACCTGAAAGAAACATTGGCTTTTAAAAAGAATAAAAATACAACAGGGTGTATGTATATTCTGTGTTGTGCATTGAAATGTTCTTAGGAAATAAAACTCGCACTATATGTATAACATGCAACTTGCAACATGCATTACTGGTAAAATGAAATGTTGATATTGATCTTTTCTGTTCTCTGTTATATCACAAAGAAAAGTGCATGTTAAGTGTTGTAAGCCAGCATTGATACTGATTCACCACTGGAGGGTTTTTTGATGTGCTTTTTTCTGATAACCACTCTGGGGGGTGAACCCAACATGATGGAGGTATATAAGAATGTACAAACAAAGGCAGAACTGTTAGGGTGAGCACTTGAGGGAACAGACAGAGAGGCCGATGTTTTCTGAAGATAATGGGATTGAAAGGGATTTACAGCATTATAATGTTTTAGTTATGTCATACGATGTTCTCTTTGCTGTCTTTTTCTTTTCTTGCTTGTTAATGGCTGTCACATGCTTTTACTGAAATCTAATATGATATCATCCAAATTATGTCTCTGCTGTGTTACATTCAGATTGGTTTTATTTGGTAGAGTGAAAAAACATCTTTAAAAGCATAAATAAAAATAAATCATTAAATAAATAACTCACAATTGTTTATTTGCATGCAACCAGTTTCCTCAAAATCAGTTGCAACCATTACCCAGTACAGCAAAACTCCTCCCTATCAAAGGACAGTGTCACACATATTACAAAATTCAAAACAAAAAAAAAAGGCTGAAATGTAGAAAAGTAGTATTTTAGGTCTTTATATACTTTGCACAGGTTTTTTGTTGGTTCAAATCAGATATACTGTTCTCAGACCATCTATAATTTATTTAATTCCCAGTCAGGACTGCCATTAAGTTATTCATTTTCTACTGTCAGGAAAAAAAAAAAAAACATTGTCGCTGTGCTAACAAAAGCATGTGTCTAAAAAAGGTAACTTTACAGGAGAAGGTAAAACGTTCTTAACTTTTAATGTATGTTAATGAGATTTTATTACAAGTAATACTGGATCATTTCTATTGATTTGTTCATAATAAAATGTTCACACAGTGTTAAGGGCAGCTGGTGTGCTCAAATGATGTAGAAAAATAAAAAAATGGACATACATAGCTTTGACATGACAGTGACTATATGTAAAATCCCACAGAAGCTTCACCAACTAAATCTGATATAATTGTTAGTGTTCAGAGCGTCCACCCTTTACCTTTATTGCAGCTTTGGTTCTTTTCATGAGACTTCCACACCTCCAAAGTTCAGTCTTAGTCGCTTGCTTTTTTGCTTCTCACAAACCGCATAAAAACTAACATATTTAATGATGTTTAGGTCCACCATGCTTGACTGAAGGTTGTAGATGGTTCAAAGAGGCTTTCATTGCTTCAGCTTACTTTTCTCAGTAAAGGCTTTTTCACAGCCAAACATCTTTTTAAACCTTTAGTGTTTGAGGACAGAAACACAAGTAGATTTTTTCAGATCTGAAGTAAAAGTGGAGTTTGATTTTCTCCTCTTTCTCAAAGATGAAAGCTTTAAGTTCTGCTTATCTGATGGTGACAGTGTTGGTGGTCTACCAGGTCTTGACAGTTGTAAGGAGTCCCATTTTGTCTTTTGGAGAATTCCGTTTTTTCACTTATTTTCTTTGACTTTCCCCTTCCTTACAGAAGTGCATTATCTTATATCTAATCTTCTCTGAAATATTTCATTTTAGATGCACATGAACAGAAAATCTGCAGGGCAGCTAATGTGTGTTTGGGTAGTGGCTTGTGTGAATGTCAGTGTCTCTTGAAGGGTAACAATGTCAGTGACACTTTTGGGAACAGCTTTTGTTGGGAGGACTCACTGGCTTTAAGATTGGAAGAACAGAAGGATCAACGTGACAGTAGGGTGCATAAAAGTAAAGAGTAGACAAATATATGGAGAGATTTAATATTACACTTAGTGTTGGAGGCTTTCATGTAATTTTCTGTTAAATATGTTTCCTGCTTTTTTAACTCTAAACCATAAGTAATGTGTACCTAAAGGCCGTGTTGTCTGAATGATTAAATGAAAGAAAGGGGTGCCTCTGACCTTTGTATAACACTGTAAACACTATCATTTAAACATCTTGCTATGGTAGGTGATATGTAAATAAAAAATCATGTGAAAATGTACCACTGAAATGTGTGATTACTTTCTTATCAAGATCGAACTTGCTCTGTCAGCATATGTTTGCCTTTCAAAAAAAGTCTGGCCTTTCCCCGCTGTAGTATTTTGCCAGTGAATTGCGCTGTCAGCTGGGTTGTTCTAGTTCAGTGCTGATGGCAGTGTTTGTCTGGCAGGCTCTCAGACGTTAATGTGTTAGGCATACTGACACATTCCTGGGCTGCTGAATCCTGGGAAAGCTGCTGAAAGTCCTGGCAGGGAAGAGGCTTGTGTGAGACTGCATCCCCAGTAGGCATTTGGTGTGTCAGTACACAATGTTTTTCCTTCTCCTTTAAAATTAGTACTTTAGAGATATGAGGTTTTGCTCGGTCAGCAGCGACATGAAAGAAGCATGGACTGTTCCACCTCAACAGCTGCAGTATTTACTTCTGTTCTTGTGCATATCATTTTCTTTATCATTTGTTTTCTTTTGTTTTCTTTTGACATATACTAATGAAGTTATGTCATTTTTCTGTAGTTGGGTTTTGCCCATATTAGAAACTCTGGATTTCTTAATGGGAAATATGAATGGGATTTTCAGAAATTGCATTCTAAACCATTTCCCATGTTTCTTTTTCCCTTTGAATGTCACTGGATCCTCTGAATTATGAGTTGTCAAGAAGGCAAAATATTATTTTTGCTACACATGGGCTAACACTGCTGTGCACTGAATTTCCTGCTAGTCAAAAGCACAAACCATCATAATTTCTATGCTGGTTTGTGCTGGTTTATGCTAGTCTAGTACTGGTCTGGTGCTGATTTAGCACCAAAATACATTATATTGTTGCTGTCGGAAGAAAAACTGTCCACTTTTGTTGTTTTTCGGTTTTTGACATAATTTGAAAATGCATGTTGCTCTTTATATTGTGTGTAAATTTCATGAAGAATGTAGAAAAGAATGAAGAAATGACCCCCCAAAGTCTGGTCCCATTGACACATTAAAAGTAAAGAAGGTTTTTTCCTTCTCAATTACCATTTTGGAGATACGAGGTTTTCTTCCAACAACAGCGATATGCTGGTTTTGCTGGCGACAAGCATAGTAACTTACATTGCTGCTCATCAGCATACCAGCAAGATTGACTTCATTAGACAGGCAAGTACACAAAAATACCCCAAACAAACCAGCAAACTTCATCAAGTGTACTAGTTAAGCTGCTTTGGCAGTAGTAGAGTACATTAGCAGTAGCTGTTTTTATTATATAACTTAACCCCTCGAATCTTCAGGGCCCGCTGGTGAGCTCAAAGTTTTATTATACAATTTTACATTTTATAATCTAAGAATAGCTCAGGCAGTTTGCACTGAAGTCCCTGTAGTCTTAAGCCTTAGTATCTAATAAACCTGTGATTTTAAGGGGTTAGTAGTGCTGAACTTTAATAGTAGGCTTACTTTCATTCGAAGTCATTTCAGTGCACCAGAGTGGTAGCCAGCATGGATGTTGCAATATTCATTTTTTGACTCTGTAACGACCTCATAATTCAGAGGATCTGGTGACATTTAATGGAAAAATGCATGAAAGACAGCGTTTCAGGTTTGGAACCTTTTTATGTACAATGGAGCTCATTTTTGACATAGAGAAATCTGGCATAGACCTGGAGTTGCTATGACAACAACTACAGAATGACTTTAGAGATCTATTAGCACATCTGTTTTGTTATATGTTAATGAGATGTAACTGTTCTTATTCAGGAACAAAGGTTTGATAGAAACAAAATCAGTTCTTTCTAATAAAATACCGGGTCATAAAGGCCTATAAAAGATTTTAAGTTATCCATTTAGTTACACCATTTGGAACTCATGGTGTAGCTTCAAATATTGCATGTAGAAATTAATAATTCATAAATTTGTAGAAATGTAGAAAGTTAGCCACATAAAATATAGAAAAAATTATTTTAATTTAATTTAAATTTTAAATTTTGATTTAATTTCAAAATGAAATTTTGAAACCGAAATAAATCCGACACACAAAATACCTTCTCTGATGAATCAAACTCTTATGGGATTTATTGACAAGAAATGTTAACTATCTGTTATTCTAAGTATTGTATTTATACCCAGATTTACCCAGCATATTTTATCACTGAGCAGGCAGCCAGTAAGCACATAGCTAGACACCTCTGCTGATGGAATATGCAAATGTACTGCCCCAGTGCAGCCCAGTCCAGAGACAGAGGGGTGTAGAGGTGTGGTCAGAGCTCCAAAAGAAACACACACACACTTCTCCACTAATACACAAACACACCCATTTCTGATCAGCACAAGGAGAAATCAAGGAGAAAAGAAGACAGGAGAATGAGAAAGGGGGAAGAAGAGAGGAGAAGGAGCATGGCTCCTCTCTGGCTTGGAAGACTCTGTCTGCTCCTGCTTTTGTGCATCACTACGGTAAGTCATATTTGAAATTGCAATCTCAGCAAAATTGAAAAGTCTAAAATTAGATACTGCTTCCATAAATAATAATCAGGGCTGAAATATCGTTTCTTTGATATACGCCTGAAGGAATGATTTGTAACTGAATCACAGGAACATACAAACTGCTAGAATAGTTGTAGAAAATGAGCATAGAGAGCCTTTTTAAAAATACAATCAACAGGAAACACTTTCTAAAGTCAATACTTTAAAAATGAACAAATTCTTCTAAAATTCTACTTCTGTAAACATATACAAGTTACTAAATAAGTGTAAAACTATAAATGAATTCTCATTTTTTGTTAAAAAATTCACATTACACTCAACTAAAATGTGACAAGAAGCCACAATCCAACTGCCTGTTCACATAGACTTTTTTCTTCAAAAATATACCTTTTTTAGAAGAATTCTGAAGCAGTATTAAGATTTATAAAATTTTATGTAAGATTTATATTGGAAATGCAGTACTTTTTAATTTTCAGTTTACTATTTCTTTAGTTTGTGCTTTTCCATCAAAAATTTTGTGTAAAAAAATGATTAAACCATGAAGGAGTCACTGCAGTTAAGTACCTATGTGTTAATGTTAATGAGCCATAACTGTTCTTATTCAGGAAAGAGTTGGAAGGAAATAGGATTAGTTTCTTATGAGAAAGTATAGGGTCAAAAACTTGGTTTCAGTATTAAACAAGTCAGTTTAAGAGTGAAATATTATTCTTAGTGTTATAATTATACACAGCTAATATTTTAGTTCAGTTTAGTCATTCTGTAAACAGTTAAACTCAATATTTAAGATGATATTTAGAACCAAATGAGGCCAAGTTTAAAATTGATAACTGAAATACTAATTGGGACACAGTTTTGAAACTTTGCATGGTTGCATCAATCAAATTAAATTTTTTGCTTGAATTTTTTCATGCAAATCCATGCTGGATTGGGGCCTAAGTGAGCTGGCATGGACAAATACACACATACATTCTTAGGCCAAATGATGAAAGACATGTTAACATAAAAATCAGGTCACTAAAACACCAACTACAAAAGTGAGTGATTTAAGATTTGTTAGAGGTAGCACATATAAAAATAAAAGACAATAAAGGACACTCTAATGAGATGTTCTGATCAAAGAAAATGACTATGCATTGTACGTGATAACTACTTAGAATAAAAGAGTTCTATGTCCTTTTGTGAGTTCAATAACATTTTTTCTGCATCTGAAATAGACTTCAGCATTTGCATACTGAGTAATGAAGACATGCTGTGAATCACTCATTAAAACATTTAGGTAACATAAATAAATAAATAAATAAAATGTTTTTTAAAAAACGTTTAAAAAAATAAATAAAAAGTTTCAGGTTTTATTATCTTGCTATTTAACTCTATTTTGTGTAAACTGCTGTTGTTTACCTCAGAGTAAGACGTCACCATTATTCAACAGTTTTGGCATTGACCTCAGTCAGGAAATGAAGGATATCTCCCTAATCCCTCAGTCAGGAAATGAGGAATATCTTCTGTTCAACACTACTGTTATTTAATACATCACAGAGACCAAGACAAAATATTCTGTTTATACCAACAGACAGAACCATTTTGTAGAGATTCTATAAAGAAATTAATCAGACGTAACATTTTCTGTTTTTGGTGCACTGTGGAGGCAGCTGAGTCTGGCACTGCTGTGTAATCGTTTTTAGACTTCAAAGAGTGCAGTTAAAAGGTCTTATAAAGTTAAAAAACAACAATGAAGACTGATGAAACTTTTTTCTTAAGACTCAAGCCAAGTTTCAACATTTGAACAATATCTTAGATCTTCTGTAAAGCTATTCAGACATCAGCATTCCTCTTTTGGACTTTAAGATTAAAGCCAGATTCATGAGCAACAAGATCAACATATCAAAACCTCATGACTCAATTTTTTACACTATTTGAAAGTGACAGCTGCCCTTTACATCATGACTAATAAACAAATACAAAATTTTGCTACATTAATATACATTAAACTTGAGAATATTTTTTCCTTCTGCTATAAAGTTATCCATTCTGAAATACGAGGTTTTGTTACAACACTGACAATATGGCAGTTACTGTGATATTCTCATGGTGTCATATTTTATCCATGATTCATTATCCCATGTAGCCAATATTAACTAGCATTAACTAACAGCCAACACACAGCCATACTGTAGGTCTAAGTGTACAGTTGTATGCAAAAGTTAGGGCACCACTGATCAAACTTTGGTTTTGTTGCTTTTCTAAGTAAAAAATAAGTACACATGCTCTACAGAGAACCTAAATACAGCATTTTTGTTTAGTGCACACTTTCCATTTATTTTAAGTTTAACATTCTGTGGAAAAATAAAACATAAAATATAGCGTCTTTGCACAGGCTGCATTTTATGTTAGAAAATCAACAAAACATGTCATTTGACCGGGGTGCCTAAACTTTTGCATACAACTGTAGTTCTGTAAGTAAGACTATAAATATCTAACAGACCAATATGCAAGATCACTAAACAAGCAATCCATCGGGAAATGAATGGTGAAGAGGGTAGGCAGGACAATACGCGGTAAATATGCAGTAAACAAAACGAGCAATTTTGTTAATTTTGGGGGTTTTTTGGTCATTAATTTGTTTATATTATGCAAATTTTAAGAACAATGTGAATGAAGTAGGGCATGGTGGATAGCGCTGTCACCTCACAACAAAAAGGGCCTGGGTTTGATTCCCAGCTGGGCGACTGAGGTCCTTTTTGTGTGGAGTTTGCATGTTCATTTCAGTGAGTGTGATGTGTTAAAACGTACTGCAACTAAACTGATTCTTATCTTTTAGCTAGCACAAACTGCAGAACGATCCAAGAGAAAAAAACGGGAGTGGATTCTTCCTGCTGCAAAACTCGTCGAGAATGTTGACTACACAAAAAATGAATTCATAGCCAAAGTAAGAAGTGCTTCTTTATTTCACAGCATGTCTGTGTATGTTCATTTTCCACTAAAATGCCAGGAACACAAGCCAAGGATGCATGTTTTCTCACATGGCTGAGTTGGGTGGTGTTAATCATAAGGCTTGTTTGTGCAGAGGTTTAGCCTGGGAGGAATAGCAGGGAGTTTAATTAGACTGACAGGCTGTCAAGTGTGCACATGTCATGTGTGTATTGGACAATTATCTCAAGAGATTAAAAGACAGATGTTTATGGTCTCACATTGTTAAAATGTACCATAACCAGTTTTAACTAGCATAATCTGCTTTGTTCAGGGAAATTAGGAAATTTGTAAAATAAGGGAATCATTAAGTACTTGTTGAGAGCTACAAATCTGAAATCAGTTGCATTTCTCACTTTGCTCTTCACAGATATTCCTATTGTTACCAGCATGAGCCTATTTTCTATTCAGGGGTGGATTTAGTGATTCTTGGGTTCTAGGCAAAGGACAGGAATGGAACCCCTGGAAGAACATTTTTGAATTAGTTGAGCCTCACGAGTTGCGCATCAATCTAAACTGCCTAGAACCCCCTGTTCATAATGTACAGTACTGTAAAAAGGTATTTGACCCAGTTTCTTCTATTTTGGCTAATTTGTCACATTTAAATGTTTCAGATGATCCAACTAATTTTAACATAAGATAAAGATGATGTAAGTAAGTACAAAATGCAGCCTTTAAATTGAAGATAAAGATTTATTCAAAGCCTATATCACCCATGTAAAAAGCAATTGCCCCTAAATCTAATAACTGGTTGTGCCACCCTTGGCAGTAACAACTACAATCAAATGTTTGTGATAACTTGCAATGAGTCTTTTACATCACTGTGGCGGAATTCTGGTCCACTCTTTAATTCAGCTACCCTTGACTGTTTTCAAGCATGAACTGCCCGTTTAAGGTCTTGCCACAGCACCTCAAAGGGATTCAAGTCAGGAATTTGACTTGGCCACCTGACAGGCAGACATTCTCTTCAGGGTTTTCTGATAGAGAGCAGAATTCACGGTTCCACCAATTATGACAAGTCGTTCAGGTCCTGCAGAAGCAAAGCAGCCCAGACCATCACACCATGTTTGACTGCTAGTAAGTTCTTATGGTGGAATGCAGTGTTAGCTTTATGCCAGATGTAATGGGACCCATGTCTTTCAAAAAGTTCCACCTTTGACTCATCAGTCCACAGAATATTATCCCAAAAGTCTTGAGGTTATCTAGATGTTTTTTTGCCAAATGCAAGACAAGCCTTTCTGTTCATTTTGATCAAGAGTTGTTTCTCATGGTCACCATTTTTGCCCTGTGTCTTTCTTATTGTGGAATCATGTACATTGACCTGAACTGTGGCAAATGAGGCCTGCAGTTCTTTATATGTTAATCTGGGTGCTTTGTGACCTCCTGGATAAGTCATCGATGTGCTGTTGGTAAAATTTTGGTAGGTTGGCCAGTCCTGGGAAGGTTCACCACTGTTCCAAGTTTTCTTCATTTGTGAGTATTGGCTCTCACTGGCTATGTTTACATGCAACGATTTTTGCCAGTCCAATTGAATACAATCCGATTACAGATTCAGACTGAGGTGTTTATATGCACTCTATTCAACAATCTGATGGAAAATCTTCGTTTACATGCTCACTACAAGTAATCCGATGCAAAATGACGCGCATGCGTGGAGTAGCGCTTAGAGTAAACGTTACCATGACAGCGAATATCACTTGAGGTCCAGACCAGTTTCTGCTCCGCCATGTTGAGCGGTGTAAACTTTCGCCGTGACACGACGCACATGCGCAGAACATACTTACACATTCCGATTGGAATGTAATCGGATTCAGGCGTTTACATGGCTATTATTCTTCTATTTAACGGATTATTTAGAAGTTTACCCACCTCGTTTAATCGGATAGAAATTGTATTCCGAATGGCCTCAATCGGATTAGACTATTCCGATTGAGGTGTTTACATGGACGTATTCTATTCTGATTGAGCTATTAGTCGGATTATTAACGGATTATCAGGCTGCATGTAAACGTGGCTACTGTGGTTCACTGGAGTCCCAGACTGGTAGATTTCAATGACTGTTTCACATCTGCGTTTGATGATCTGAAACATTCAAGTGTGACAAATATGCAAAAAAAACGAAGAAATTGGGAAATACATTTTCACAGCACTGTAGATTACTGCTAAATTGCCTTATTCATATACCTCTGTCTTCACGTAACAACATGGAATAGTCCATTATAACCATGACTGGGAGGTGAAGCTGCATTGAAGGCTACAATCACAAATACCAGCTATTTTTAAAATGCTTATGTGTTTTAAAATAGGTTATTTAACATCAACACATGCTGTATATGTAATTTCTATTTTCATGGGGCCCTTGGCTCATGGAGGCCCTAGGCAGCTGCTTACCTTTGCCTAGTGCAAAGACTGTCCCTGTTCTTATCAGACCATTTTTAATATAAAAAGTGACCAAAGTAATTGTTTAAAAGTGCAAAGACTTCTAAAGTCATTGACATGACTAATTTTCTCTGCGTTCCAGATATGGTCTGATAAGTACACAGAAGACAAGCCACTGGTGTACAGCCTAACAGGACATGGTGCTGACAAGGAGCCGTATAACCTCTTTGTTGTCAATCCCCAAAATGGCTGGGTCAGAATCACAGGCATACTGGACAGAGAGGAAAGATCAGAGTATAATGTGGGTTTCAAGAGTTTATATAATAATTGTAGCGGAAATGAAAGACATACTTCTTAACTTTTCTATATTGTGTTATTAGTTGAAAGGACTGGCAAGACACAAAAATGGCAGTCTGGCAGAAGGAGAGGTTCATCTGAAAATAAAGGTTGTGGATCAGAATGACAATCCACCAAAGTTCACCTTCTCCAAAGGTTCTGTGACAGAATGCAGTAAAATAGGTGTGTAACATTGATTTCTACCTTAACCCAAATCACTAAACTGCATTTAATCACCACGATGGATGATTTTTGCTTTATATAAATGAGAAAAAAAACAGTATCTGGAAAATATTAAGAAAAACAGTTGATTATTAAAGTATGTTTCTACTACACTCTTAAAATTAAAGGAGCCACAAAGGGGTCTTCAGGAGTAGTGGCGATTCTAGGACTGTATAAAAGGGATGGCCATTGAGTGGATAAGGCAAACTTAGGGCTTCTAAAGTCTGTTAACCCAAAAATATCTATTTTTATCAAAGTTGACCCAGAAAATAAGATAAAAGACTGTTTCATTTCTACCTTTCTTTCTTCTACCTTTCGTGAACAGAAATTATAACATTACCACTGAATGAATGGGTAACTCAATAGAACCTTTCTTTCCACATGCAGTAGAGTAATAAAAACACTGGGGGGCGTTCGATTCAACTATGACATATTTAAACTCCACAGTAGAAATTGAGATGTTAATCAGCTTAATTAAGCTTTTTTTATACAACTACAATGAAGTTGCATTTAAACGAAACATTTTAACTTCTCTGTTCTGCACACAACACTTAGCTTCTCAGGAAGAGGCCGTTGCAACCAACCATTTTTTTTTTTGCAGGGGGGATTTGTCCCACAGATACATATCATGCTCTAAAAGACTTGTTTTCATCACAACGTCCAGTGCAGGCAGGTGGCTGCTATTACTGATTTTTTAGCTGGAGAAACAAAACCTTGTTTCCGTCTAAATAATAAAAATACTGTGTGGAAGTACGTACACACAGACATGTGGATAGCCAAACTGAATCTGCCAAAATCCTGATAGCGGCCACCTTTGTGTTCCACAGATATCAGACGCTCTGTATCTGTGCGGGTGGAGTGTCTAAGGCAGAGACTGGGGCCACTCCAACCAGCCCTCTTAGTTCACCACTGTTTAAATGATCCGATAGAGGAACCACTCTTGGCTCCCTAATGAATCATGTTTGAAAAAGAGATTTGTGAGTGTGAAAAACCTCAAATGGTTTGAAGAACCTTTACATAATGTATGTATTCTATACCTATTTAAGGGTCCTTCCTAGAACCTTTACATTATGTTCTTTAAAAATGGATTCTTCACACTCACTCATTTCAATCACACAAAAAAAAATATTCTTTAAAAAAATCATCCTTTGAATGTTGATTTAGGAAACTAATTAGGAAAGATTCTTCAGTGGCACCCTTTTTGGTACCTTTATTTTTAAGAGTGTGTATCTTTAAATCAGTAGGTTGGACTTTCTTTAAATCTGTGGTCACATTGACCACATTGGATATCTGAGTAAGTTCTTTTATACTTCTCCAACAAAACCGCAGGAACTCCTGTCATGAGGATAAGAGCTGAGGATGCTGATGAGCAGGGAACAATCAACACAAAAATTGCATACAGTATAGTGCAGCAAATACCAGAGGGAGCTGGTCCCATGTTCTCCATCGACAGAGACACTGGAGATATCTATGTGAAAGAGCACACCCTGGACAGAGAGGTAAATAGTATAAAACATCCATAAAAAGTGATGGTGTGGTGCATTACTGTATGAAGAAACTTCTCAAAAATCACACCTCAGATACATAAACGTGTCATATTTTTATTATATATTATGATATTATAAGATATGCCTGCTTTCTCAAAATGGAGGTCTGCTAAATAGTAGGAGACAACCAAAAACTGACATACTTAGTTGCAATAAATTTCAAATTATCACAGTGATCTCTAACATTTGCTCTGTCTCATACAGACACATGACTCCTACACTTTAGTAGTGCAGGGTGTGGATATGGATGGAGCGCCAGGTGGCAACACAGGAACTGGTACAGTAGAGATTAAAGTTTTGGACATCAATGACAATGTTCCCACTCTTGAAAAAGACGAGGTAACAAAATAGCTTCATTTCATGCCACATTCATGCTGCTAACACATGAGAAAGATATTTAATTCCTCCTGTCTTTCCTGTATCAGCACACAGGAAGGGTTGATGAGGATGTAGCTGATGTGGTTGTGATGAGAATCAAAGCCCTGGATAAAGACCTGGAGTACACTGATAACTGGCTGGCCCACTTTACAATCATTGAGGGTAATGAAGATGAACTCTTCACAATAGAGACAGATCCTAAGACCAATGAAGGCATTCTAAAGCTGGTCAAGGTAAACATCTTCAGTTTTAACAAGGAAATGGTTCACAACTTGTATTAGTTGTTCTGGTATCATGTATTTCAGAATTGTTCTAGTCATGCTTTTTTGTATCTTTTGTTCCTCCAACACTGCTGTCCTGCATGAAGCCTGTGGATTATGAAAAGGTCAAAGAGCTGAATCTGGGCCTGGCCATTTCAAATGTAGCACCTCTCATTAATGTGACAGCAACATCTGTGGAGTCAGATGGAAATTTGGGAGGCACTGGAGCTGGAACAGGACTTGCAGGGGAAGGAGGAGGAGCAGGGGAAGGGGGAGGAGGAGGAGCAGGGGAGGGGGAAGGGGGAGGGGCTGGGGCAGGTGCAGGAGTAAAACCTGGTGTTATAATAGGTCTTAAACCAGGTCTCAAACCAGACAAAAAGCCATTAGCTATAGGAGGAAAAAGATACCCAGTTAAAATAATTGTAAACGACCTATCCGATGGTCTAGCCTTTTCACCATCTAAGAAGGAGTTTCCCGTATCAGAGGACCCAAAGAAAATTCAAGTTCCTAAAATTATTGGTTCTTTTCCTGCTGTGGATGGTGATACTGGAAAAAGTGCTGAAAATGTCAGGTGAGTTCTGTTCCAGAGCAAGAAGTCTGATCACTTAGTATTTTTTGAATAAAATAAAATGGGTTTTTCCTTCTTTAATTTATCAGTATCGCATATTACCTTGCAAATGTAGGTATGCAAAAGGCTATGATCCAGACAACTGGCTATCCATAAACGAGGAGACATCAGAAATTAAACTAGTGAAGATTCCAGATCGAGAGTCAAAGTCTCTGGTCAATGGAACCTACTTTGCCAAGATCCTATGCATGACCCAAGGCAAGCATGACAATCTATTGTGCTACCAAAAATATTTTTCTTTCAGAAAACTAAAAATTAAAAACTCACAAGAGAATTCTTAATACATAGTTGGTGAAAATAGATATTTGTTGGTCTATATTTTGAAATATACCTTATTCTGAAATACAAACTTCTCTATTTATTTAGATGTGCCTCCCAGGACAGTTACTGGAACAATAGCTTTAAAGGTGGAAGACTCAAATGACCACTGTCCCAGATTGACCAGCAACTACGAGAGCATTTGCTCTGATACTAAAATCATAAACGTGACTGCACTTGACCAGGACGTCTATCCAAATGCAGAGCCATACAAATTTGTGCTGGTAGAGGAGGAGACTCGTGGAGAATGGGAAATGGTTCCTATAAATGGTAATAAAAACAGCAGACAATCATACTTAATTCCATAATACAGGGTGATCCAAAAAAGATTCATCCGATTTCAAAGCACCGTATTTTTACAACCGTGAGGCGCCTAGGAACCAATCACTTACCAACTGTAAGAGGGGGTCATAGAGTTTCTGACTGTCACTGGAAGATGGCCTTCAGTCTGTGAGGAGATGCGACCCCTGAGCAGAAAGCGCTCTGCGTTCTCCACTTCAATAAGAGTGAATCTGTCGTAAGTGCTCAACGTGATTTTCGTTGACAGTGAACCTCCAACAGCTCAGAGCATTAAGTATGGGATGAACTTAACTATCATGTTGATGTTGTCCGTACAGCTGGAGGAGGTTCATATTGAGCACTTGAAAAATTACATCATAAACTCTATGTTCACTTAAACCATTTACAATTTACTGCATTGTTCTGTGATTATTTACAAGTGAAATAAATCATTTTGAAATGGGATGAACCTTTTTGAATCACCCTGTATTTACAACCATGTCCAAAGGTATACAGACACCCCTTCTAATTAGTGAATTCAGCTACTTTAAGGTGCACACATTCCTGACCCAAATGTTCCGTTATGCACACATACAGCTAAAATAGTCTTCAAAAAAAGTACTGCCAATAGAATGAGATGCTCTGGAACAACCATGCATGAGCCTAAAGTCTCTATGCCCAATGACAAGAGTTAGCTAGAGGGATATAAAGCTCCCCAGCCTTGGGCTGTAGAGCAGTGGAATTGCATTATCTGGAGAGATCTGGTACCATGGGGATGAGTTGGAGGGTGTTTATGACCCAGAACTAATCATCCAACACCAGTAGCTGACCTCACTAATGCTCTTGTGGCTGAATGCAATCAAATCCTCACAGCAATGTTCCAACATCTAGTTTAAAGCCTTCCCAGAAGAGTAGAGGCTGTTACTGCAGCAAAGGGAGGACAAACTCCCTATTAATACCCTTGATTTCAGAAGAAGTGTTGGATGAGCAGATGTCTACAAACTTTTGGACATATAGTGTATGTTTCTATGTATATGAAGAATTATAAACAGCAAACTGCAATACTCATATATGGACACAAGGACAATAAAGTTATTTTTATGCACATTCATGTTTCTATTCACTCACTCCAAGGAACAACGGTGAGCTTTCATGCCAAGGACTTGCTGTGGCCAGGCTTTTATGAGCTGACTGTAGAGATCTTTGACATGCAGGGTTTGGGCTGTGAGGACAAGCAGAAGCTTCAAGTGGAGGTATGCACCTGTGAGGAAGGTGACACCTGTGTTGTGGCACCCAAGGCATCCCAACAGCATATGTCCTCAGTCAAAGTGGGAGTTCCAGCCATCGGACTGCTCGTGGCCGGCCTGGCACTGCTTATGTGTGAGTTACAAATAGACATATGCAAATTCCACAGTTCCCAATAGGCCCCTCCATATACACAGTTTTGAGATTTTATTCCCAAACAGAAACCATGTTCTGTCTCTTTGGTGTGTTCTCAGTGGTTCCCATGCTTCTGTTGGTCTGCCAGTGTGGGGTGGTGAGCGAATTCACAGAGCTGCCTTTTGATGCTAAAGAACAACTTATCTCATACCACACTGAAGGAAAGGGGGAGGACAAGGTGTAGTACATCTTCTGTAAAGCTGAATAAATTCTTTTAAATAGAGGTGCCACAAAGGATTCTTTGAGCAATGCCATAAGAACCACTTGTATTTCCGGACTCTGGACCTGGAGCCCTATTGCCCTGCATGTTTTAGTGCTTTCCTTACCTTAACCCACCCACTTCAACTGATTTGTTGCTGGCTGTTTATGAGCTTATAATACTGGATAAGGTGTGTTGGAAGCAGGAGAAACAGCAAAACATGTAGAGCAGTGGGCCTCCATGACCAGGGTTGGGATGACTTCCTAAAGCAACAAAAAGAGAGATAAAAAGAACCTTTACACAACATAAAGGTTCTATATAGTTTTAAGGGTTCTTTCTAGAATTTTCCATTATGTGGAGGTTTTTCATATTCAGATATCTCATTTACAAAAATGGTTCTCTAAAAAAGCATCCCTTAAAAGGTACTTTAGGGAACCAAAAGTGGTTCTTCTACAGCAGGGGTGCTCAATCCTGGTCCTAGAGATCTACCACCTTAGAGAGTCCAGATCTATCACACCTGGCTCTAATACTCATATACCCTCTGAAGGCTTTCATTTTCTGTATAAGGTGTGATTATGTGTGGAGCTAAACTCTGCACAGTGGTAGATCTCCAGGATCAAGACTGAGCACTCCTGTTCAATAGCATTGTGCAAATATATATGTATATCATATATATGAATTAAGTATATGAAGCCTTGTTATCAAAAAGCATCTTTACTGACTTTTCATGATATATCTGGAATAAGTCACTTTAGAATGCTGATAAGTCTCTTTTATGTATTCAAATGCATGGAGGGCCATTTGGCCTCATGTTGGATAGCTTCCCTAGAATTTTTTCTACAGTATCCAAAGATCACTTGTTATCTTAACAGTACAGAGTCATTAATAGGTTTCACAGTTTGCAAAACATTGGCACATCTTGTTTTTTGTCATCCTTATTTTGTAGGAGGTGCCTCTTCTCAGTGCTCCAGACCAGCGACCTATGGCAGTGGGTGGTAATGCTGGCAGCAAAGTCCCCATGATGCCTTCTCCTCAGGCTCATGAATGGGTTATGGAGCTTGACAGCATGCTTGCACACCAAAACAACACTTTTTCAGCTGAGCATCATGGAAGCAGCCTCTATTCTTCATCACTCAGGCCTGGGAAGCATGATCTCTATGGAGGGATAGCACTGCCAGACAATTTTCTACATAAATATTTCACTCAGGTAGAGAATAAAGGAGAGCAGTATACTTTTTGTATATTTTTATTTAAATAATTATAAAGATTATATGCTCTTTTTTTGCAGAAAGCGAGGTGTGCAGCTGAGAACCCTCCTCTCACGGACAGTCTGCTGGTGTACAGCTGTGAAGGTCAAGATTCTCCCGTAGGCTCATTGGGCTGCTGCAGTCTCCTTGAGTCAGGAAGTGACATGACATTCCTCAGTGATTTGGGACCAAAATTCCTGGCTTTAGCAGAGATTTGCAGTCCCTCAAAACCTAGTCCACCACCAACAAAGGTTGAACAAATTGTCAAGCCAAAAGATACCACCATCAAAAGTGAGAGTTGTGTCACCACCAGTATAGCACCATTTTCAGAACCTGCGCCACCTTTACCACAGCAAAGCAATGCTGATTCCAAAGCTCTCAATAACTCAGACACTCTTTCCACCATGAATACTAGCCAGATACAGCTTGTGCAGCAGCAGCCTCTGTACTATTTGGTAGAACGTCAGGTACCAAGAACTGTGATTATTGCAGAGAGACCTACACAGGGTACATACTTAATAAATGGGTCAGCAGGGGCCAGAGGGTTAATCCTCCAAGACAGTGATAAAGCACAGGCCTCACTGCAGCAAGGACTATACCTGATTAGAGAAACTTCTAGGCTACAGGAACATCCAATAGACAGTATCTCAAATCCTTCCAGCCCTGGCAGCCCAACTTCTCCAACTCTCTGGGTTCAGGGAAGCCAAAGCTGTTTCCAACACCCCGATTCAGTCTCTCAAAGCACTCTCCCTGGGATTCAGAGGGTGATACTACTACAGAATGAGGGTAATGTAGTACCTGCTGTACTTTCACAGACATGTGCACAAAGGGAGACTCTAGGCATAAGTTTAGACCATCCTGTAGAAGCAGGGTATGTAATGCTTGTTCAAGATCAAAATACCTTGGGCTCTCGAAGGTCAACACAAGCTCAGGCAGAGTTACAGTCTCCAGACAGCTCTTTGAAGTTTAGTCCAGTTTTTGCACAGGACAGAGGTCCTGAGAATGTGTTCATGCACCAGCAAGGTACTATGAGTTTCAACCAGCCAGAAGAAGCACAGGCCCAGCTGAACACAAAAGAAGATATGCATCAGTTTAGACTTGATCCCCTGCTCACCAAAGGGCAAGGAAACACAGAGGAGTTCTCAAGGCAGGTTAACACAGACTATACTGCTGGTGTGACACAAATTCCCATTCCCACTCATTCTATTTCCCCCAACCTTCCACTGGTCAGATCCACCACTGCAGATGTACTAGCTAAAGCCAATGCTATAAGAAAAGAGCTTGAGGAAACTATGCTCATGAGTGCTTCATTACAGGAATATCACCTACCACACAAGAAAAGAAGTCAGCAGACGATATCAGTTCAGTAAATGATGATTTCAGCGCCATAGAAACAGCGGATCTTGCAACAAAGTGTCAAAAAGAGAAAAGGGAGGACCATGACTCTGAATCTCAGGGTAGTGAAGCTGAAGAGGCTAATCTAACAGTACAGGACACTTCAGTATCACAAGAGGGCGCTGGGCAGAATAGGACTGGAAAGGCCACAATAGCCAGTAAGACAGAACAAGCTGATCTCAGTGATTCAGAAGAAGTTGATGTGACAATGACAGAGATGACCTCAGCAGCGAATGAAGAAACTATCTGTGAACAAAGACTTATTCATCAACTTGAAGAAGAAACTGAATGTGTTGCTTCTCAGTTGAAGAGGGAAGACTCACCTGTGGTAGAGCAATTAGAAACTCCAGCAGTAGAACTGAATGATGAATCAGACCAAGAACTTGCAGATGCTTTGAATGTTACTCATGAGACACCACAAGACATTTCAGAGGTGATTTTGGAGGTAGATACTGAGGCAGGGGTAGTCGCTGACTTCCAGGCGACTTCGCTTACTGGGGAGGAAGAGCTAAAGCCAGAGCAACAAAACCTAGAGGAAGTAATGGAAAATGAAGATTGTTCTAATGAGTTTAGTGTGAATGCTAGCCACTTAGAAGAGGTCAGTGTGCAAGTGGAAGTGAGTAACTCAGCAGTGACCCTGGAGGCCATTTCTGAACAAAGTCTTCTTACTCTTGAAGCGAAGCTGGCTGGTTCTGACTCAGAAAGGGAAGATGCAGAAGGTGAACTTCACTCAAGCATGCAAATGACAGAGGAGACATCTGTGATGGAGGAAGTAGAACTGAATGATGACTCAATCCAAGAACTTGTGGAGGTTGAGGTACCACAAGACATTTCAGGGGTGATTTTGGAGGTAGATACAGAGGCAGAGGTAGTCACTGACTTCCAGACGACTGCGCTTACTGGGGAGGAAGAGCTAAAGCCAGAGCAACAAAACCTAGAGGAAGTAATGGAAAACGAAGATTGTTCTAATGAGTTTAGTGTGAATGCTAGCCACTTAGAAGAGGTCAGTGTGCAAGTGCAAGTGAGTAACTCAGCAGTGACCCTGGAGGCCATTTCTGAACAAAGTCTCCTTACTCTTGAAGCGAAGTTGGCTGGTTCTGACTTAGAGAGGGAAGATGCAGAAGGTGAACTTCACTCAAGCATGCAAATGACAGAGGAGACATCTGTGATGGAGGAAGTAGAAACTCCAGCAGTGGACCTAAATGATGCCTCAATCCAAGAAGGTGTGGAGGTTGAGGTACCACAAGACATTTCAGGGGTGATTTTGGAGGTAGATACTGAGGCAGAGGTAGTCACTGACTTCCAGGTGACTTTGCTTACTGAGGAGGAAGAGCTAAAGCCAGAGCAACAAAACCTGGAGGAAGTAAAAGTGGTTGAGGTACCACAAAACATTTCAGGGATGAATTTGGAGGAAGACACAGGGGTGCGGGTAGTCACTGACGTCCAGGTAGCTATGCTTCCTGAAGTGGTAAAGGGAGAACTAAGGCCTGAACACCAAAACACAGAGGAAGTAAGGGAAAATGAACACTGGCCTAACCAGACAGGAACTAAGTTAGAGAGCAAGGATGTTGGGGATCAACTAGAGTCAAGCATACAAAAGACAGAGGACACCCCTGTGATGGAACAAGTAGAAACTACAGAAGAAGGAGTGATTGATGAACTAGACCCAGACCTTGTAGAGACTGAATCAGACCTGCGAGACCCTACTAATTTACAACAGTCAGCCCCATCTGACCCTGAGAGTGACGAGGAGGCAGATTTAGAGGAGCTGATGAGTAATGTAACAGAATGTGACATATCAACAGATCTAGAGCAGGTGCTGGATATGAGACAGTACATTGAGACACCTGAGGTAGACAGTGTAGAAGAGTTTCAGGTGCAGGTTTCTACAGGCCAAATGACGCCTCAAGCAACAAGGCACTGCAGCGTTCAGAATGAGTCACTAGCCCTTAGAGAGTCATCAGATTTAAGATATATGATTGAAAAGGATTTTGACAATGAAAGTGCCAATATTGTACCTGACCCATCAGCTGAACTAATGTGTCAGGAGGATGTAGACAGCTCAGAAGACATTGCAAGGATGCATGTGGAGACAGAAACAGAAGGAGGAGCAGTTACTGGACAGGTAGCTGTACTTAATGACAAAGAGAAGGAAGCGATCAGCCCAAGGCAAGAACAACTTGAGGGAGTGATGGAAAGTAATAAACTAACATGTCAAACGCAGGATTATGAGGAAGTTGAAGATCTTTCAGGACAAGAGAAATATAACAAAGTGCAAGATATATATGCTTCTGCTGCACAAGCTGATGCTAAGATGACAACAAATACTATGAAATTAATGAAATCTATAGGTTCAGGGTACCATATGAAAATAAAAGGTTATCCTGAAATTGAAAAGTTAGGAGAGGATGATGTAAATTCTGAACCAGTCAGTGTAGATTATGTATCTTTGAGTATTCAATCTGTAGCGCAGGTTGCAGAAGAAGTCAAAGAGAGTCAACATTTAAGTGGAGATCTCGAGGAGAGTGCAGACCCATCACAAAGTACTTTTACAAATCCAAAATCAGTGCAGGATGGACTTAAACCTGAAGATGAGGTCCAACAGATTTTACCTGAAGTTGAGAAAGTAATGGGTGAAGCACACAAAGCCTGCACTTTGCAGTCACTGTCAGAGGAAGGTAAATCAGTATCTGAGTTGGCTGCATCAGAGATTTCAGAGAGTTTAACACAAGCTGAAAATGCAGGTGATGTGTTATCTGAGGTTATGGAGCAGGTCTTAGCAACTGCCAGCAGCACGTCAGAATCAGGAGCGGCAGGTTTGCAGGCAAAATCAGAACAGGAAACTACTGTGACCCCTAAACACAAACACAGGAACAGTAAAAAGTCATCCAAAAAAGTTACCAGTCCCAAAAGTCCTGTGGGAAAATGTAAACCACAATGAGATTTCTATGAAAATAAAAAAAATCATTCCTTTTAAAAAATGATTTGAGGTAAGTAATTTAGTAATTTAGTTATGGGATTTTACTGCTTAACGGTTCACTGACCGGATTTGTGAAATGTTGCTGGATCACATTCTCTGACTACTTTCATTTCAGCGAGTATTCTTTGTGAACTGAGCTATATTATTTAAATGTATAACTAAAATTGTGGGAGTTTTCCAACTTCTGAATATTAGATATAAAAACTACATGGCTGTTAAATACATGAATGTTAGCATGTGAAGGCTTACTCTGTAAATCTTTGTGCACCTACTTGCATGTGTGTTGTTATTCTCTGTTTGATTTTGAATAAAGTAATTAGGAAGTTTGGCAATTTTTTTACAGTAAATTTTAGATCTCCTTTAATAATATTTAATATTAAGTTGCTGAGCTGCCCTCAGGCTTCCATGGAACTGCTTCAAATGTACTTCAAACATGTACGTTCAGTGATGTACAACCTGCCGTATCAGCATTTACTTTAGAAAGGTAACACAGCTCAGTGAACGTTTGAAGGTTCCTCCACTGCCACAGGGACAAACAGAACCATGCTTGTCAGTCATCTTCATCTGTGAAATACTATCACACTGGTTCTTGCTTACTTTAAACTCTCCACACCTCACCTACTGTGTAGATAGGAGGGCATGCAGAGGTCAGTGAGAATGGTTTATTTTTAGATGATTTGATTTGTAAATGTGCCCAAAAATAGGGCTTAAAGATGAGTGAAATTAAAAACCCCATTAGGTGCAGACCTCTCAGGGTTGGGTTCTTCACTAATTCTGCCCAGCACTGACACTGGACTAGAGACTAGACTTAGTTAAAAAAAAATATATATGACCCTGAGAGTGATGAGGAGGTATTATATATATATATATATATATATATATATATATGTGTATTTTTTTTACCTCCTTTTCCCTTCTTTCTGTTAGCATATGTCAAATTTTGGCCTTAAATAATTACTTATTGTATCATAATATTGACTATGTAAAAATAATGAATAATGACTTGACTATGTCTGATAATCATACCGGACATATACCAAAATAAACTTTACTGAAATTTGAAGTAATTATTCTGACATAGTATAACAAAATCCTGAGAAAATGAGTAATTATTTTGAGATGTTAAGTCAATAGTTTAAAAAATAAAAATTAATTTGAGTTAATAAGTCAAAATGTTGAGTCATTATTTTAGATATTAATTCAATATTTTGAGAAAATAAGTCACCATTTTGAGATAAAAAGTCAATATAAAAATCATTATCTTGAGACAATGTAAGAAATGTAAATCAAAATAAGAAATTACTTTGACATTCTAAGTCAACATTACAAGAAAATCCAATCCAAAATACAAGTCAGTCAGTCAATATTTTGACATACTGCTGCAGGGAACAAAGAAGGAGGAGTTTTTTGCCCTCTTCCTTGCAGAAATGAGCTTCCATACAAGAACTAGGCTCACTAGTATGTCGCTGTTGTCGGAAGAAAACCTTGTATCTCCATTTTTTACATTTTTCAGTTTTTGACATAATTTAAAAAATACCTGTTACCCTTTACATTGTATGTAAATTTCATGATGAATGGACTAAAAGAAATGACCCAAAATGACTTGGAAAAAACTTACATTACATTACTTACATTAAAAGTAAAGTATGTTTTTTTCCTTTTCCTGTAAAGTTACCATTTTGGAGATACAAGGTTTTCCTCTGACAACAGCGATATGTATAAAAGTTTTTTTATTTTAAAGTCATAATGTAAAATAATGTATGAAAGCCTAACAATAAAGGCTATTTCCAAAGGTTTCAGAGAAAAACAATCACTATTATTATGGTGAAGATATTATTATGGTTTTTATGTCATTAAGCTTGTTGACACTTCTCATAACCACATAATCATTATCCATTCTGGCCACAACAGTCAGCTTTGGAATTTTAAACTGAAAACTTTAGCACCACCCAGAGGCAAAAGAGCACTGTGTATGCCATGGTTGCTATTAAACAGTAGATATATCTTACAACACTGTCAGAAAAAAGGGTTCTGTCCAGGTACATTGTAGTACAAACAATATACCTTAAATACATTTTAAAGGTATATAAACTACATCCACTTTTCCAAGGGAAAAATCATATTTATAACTTTATATAACAGGGTGGATGGAATCATTGCAACTTAAAAAATATAAGTGCTACAGAATAAGGTACCATCATGTTCCCAAACTAACGATACTGTAGACATATATTTGAGTATACAACCCCAAAGACAGCGGTTCTACCCCGACAGATACAGAGTTCTATGACAGTGTGTACTTCCTAATTTTTTCTAATCAGTGCTCAGTATATTGTTATTAAACACTACAAGGCCTCATTGACCCAGCTTTTACTCTAAACAGCCACATAAATGCTTTCTTAGAACAATCACTGCCTCAGACCTCGAAATGTCTGATGCTCAGAAAGTTTAATTCGTGGGAGAGGCCATCAATCACTTCTATGTCAGAACAAACAGTACTAGAGCAAAAGGTACAACTATGATCTGCAGTGACACAAGGAGACCTTTGGGAACTAGATGTGGTTGAAATGCCTTTCCAACAGTACCAAGAGATTTCCAAAGAAAAGGAACTACAAAGACATTATGTTTCTCTCTGAAAACCTGAAAACTGAGACCACTTCCATTGTGCCAACAGATATTTCTGGGGATTAATAACTGAAATTGCCACAAAGGTCGTTTTGTTTGGAGTTACACATTCCCCTGTTATTTACTGTGTCAACAGAACGCCCCAGATCTCCCCTGCAGTCACCTGACCCCGGTATATAAGACCGAATCAGTCTTACTGTCTGCAGTCTTCCTTCACCATGGACAAAGCTAGCATTTTGGTTCTTCTTTCCTCAGCGCTTGTTTTCTGCCAGGCTGCACCTGTGGTAAGTTACCGAACCGGTTCAGACAGCTCAGTTATGGGACCAGCACTGATTACAATCCTGAAAGTAGAGCCTTTTGTAATGCAAACAGAAACATTGAGTTAACAGAGTATTTATTTTTCTAATATTGAAACTACAGAAAATGATTGCAAGGATTCCATACATAATACTAAGTCCTGTTCTGGACAGCCACCATACGTGATATGATACTACTGAGTACAGACAGACACCATCTAAATGCCAAAAGGAAGCGGTTGGGACATTCAGTGGTAGTTACAGTTAATGTTTCGTCATCCATTCAGTATTTATTTCCTACATTGCATCAGTGCACAGTGTTGTCTACTAAACATTATATAATATTGCTAAACTTCTCCTAATTCATATTTTGGGTTGGGACACAGACGATGTGTTTAGCATGCAGATATTGCTCTGAAGCTGAAATTATTGTCATCTTTTACTTGTTAAATTGTGAGGATTCAGTCTTATTGGTTACGTAAGCAGGGGTCGAACAGGACACTGGGCAGTAAGGATTTAATAAACAGTATGAATTTTGCTCATTATCGTTGATCATGCAAATGCAAAGTTCAAAATATCATTGAAATACGGTTTGTAACTTATGACCACATGAATGAAAGGACAAGTTTGATCCGGCTCCTCCTTTCAGATCAAAATAGCTTAAAGTTTAAGACAGATTAGTTTACTTAGAGCCTGTTGGAATGACTAATTACAGAGTTAGCAGTTCTATTGTTTTTTATATATTTATATTTTAGTCTTTCTTGTGTAATGTGGTTTTATGACTTTGTTTTACAGCCAATCATGTCAGTTAAAGCTGTTTTCAGGACAGGGTAATATAACTAAAGGTGAATGTAATGTATCCGCTCTGCTCACACACTGTAGAAACATAATTTTGTCATTCACTTCATTCTGTTCTAGGATCACGGCGGTTCGGATTCTCATTGTCCGTTAACCGTAAAGATCCTGGATGCGGTGAAGGGAGCTCCCGCTGGAAATGTGGCACTTAAGGTCTCCCGCAAAGGCACTGATGGGACGTGGGAAAAGATAGGCAGCGGGTAGGATAATATTCACTAAAATGGTGCCTGCCGCAAAAATATTTGCCAAACATCTGAAGAATTTGAGAAATCAGCAGGATGGTAGCACAAAGATTATGAACGATGGTTCAGTGATTTTGTCTCTCCATCGTTTTAATGCTTTTGGGATGGCACAGCACTCTAGAATTGAGATGATTTGTGAATACCACCCTGCTAGGTGCTTTGCTATAACCTTAATCTGTTGTTCACTTGCTTTCTAGGTCAGCATCTCAATAATCTCAATGTTCTCCCCTTTTCATCTGCCCTACAGGACAACAGACATATCTGGCGAGGTTCATGAAATTATCACAGAGCAGGACTTCACACCTGGTGTATACCGTGTGGAGTTCGACACTAAAAACTACTGGAAGGCAGAAGGCCGCACACCTTTCCACGAGGTTGCTGATGTGAGTAGACAGCCTGTGTGAAAAGCAGCAGGCCCTGCTAATCTTGTTTTCTCAATTGCTTAAAGAAATTCTGGGACTGGATTAGCTTTCCATGACATAGAACACTTGGATTTTACTAATTAGTCCAACAGAACCTTCAACCTGGCTTCTCTTTGTAAATCCTTTGGTTTGTTCACTTGTTTCTATACCTAAGAAAGAACCAGTTCTTTTTCAGTAAAGGGTTTCCTTTAAGAGATATAGTGTGGCCCATATTAGTGTCAGTTTGCGAATTTGCCTATGAGTGAGTAAACTGGACTCTGACATTCAACTGCTCATTCAGTAAATACTGGCAGAATTCCAAACCGAATACCTTTTTTCTGGATGCCAACCAAGTGCTGCATTTTTTTTTAAAGGAAGGAGAGTAAATATTTAAGAACATATATGTTTTCTATAGACACATGTCCTTAAATAAATGCAACAGCTGTAGATAAGCTCTGGATGGACTATTCAGGGATCATACATAACACATATAAGTACTGTACTTGGACACAGTTCAAGCCCCACGTGTGTGGACTGAAATGTTTCCAGCCTATTAAAAGTGTGCTCTTTTTTCTTGTTTGTAGGTGGTGTTTGAGGCTCACGCTGAAGGACACCGCCACTACACTCTGGCCTTGCTACTGAGCCCCTTCTCCTACACTACTACAGCTGTAGTGGTCAAAGCACATGACTGAAGATGCAGATTTAAGATGTATCTTAACATCACAGGTAGCCATACAAGTAAAATAGAGGAGCGTGGGGTTGCTCGGCAGTTTTCACCCTCTACCGTATTTCCCAGACATACCATACATTAGAACAGGCATGTCAAACTGGGTGGCTTCCACAACAGATCTCTGTGGACATTAGCATCTTCCTTCATCTAATGATCTGTAATAAATTCACAAACAGCCGATGAGCTGAATCAGGTCAGTTTAATAATGTAGAACGCTCAAGTCTGTAGTGCTTTGACCCTGCAAGGACTAGAGTCAACCAAGTCATGTGTTTGAATCAATTAAACAATAGAATTTTCTCATTGTATTGAAAAGCTGGATAATATACACAGCCTTCCCTTGAGTGAAAGTAGAGTCTGTAAAATACCTACTTATATTTCATATTTAATACACAAACAGTTTTGGTTTAAAGGGTCACACTTTATTTGGATGGTGCCCTATAGATACTTATGTTATTAACAAACTTTCTGGTGATACTCAGGTGATTAATAACAACATTAAGCTTAGGCCTAGCATTGAGGTTGGGGTTAGGGACAAACGTACTACAATCTTTCACACACAACTTCAAGTTTAATTACACTTAATAGATATTTAGTTGAATATTAGTTAAAGACAGACTGAACATTTACAGTGGACCATCCAAATAAAGTGTCACCTCATTTTCACATTGAGACTCATTTATTAAATGACCTACTGCTTGGAGGTGGGAACATCTAATTACAAATTTATTCGTAATTTAATATAAGCAAGGTGTTATTTACTATGTATGCAATTTATAACGTGAAATAATACAGGCCTGTGACAGTCCTACACTTCAGCAGGCTATCAAGCAGCAACCAACCCCACATACATTAGGATACAAGTCTTTATTTACTTCACAGTAGCAAGCCAGCATTACTTATCTTTGGCTTTCAAATCATATCAAAATATATCTGATTTCTGCTAAAAGAATATATTTTCACAATCTATCTTTAAACTACTAAAATATAATTACTCACATGGAGTTAAAAATGTATTTTAAATTATTAAAATTTAAACTAAACTCAAGGCACAAACATGAATATTGCAAAAATAACACTTATAAATCTGTTGTGAAAAACATCTTAAATTCTCACTTTAACAGATTGTAATGTTCAGAGCTCTTGATTAAATGGATAAATGTTGGACAATTTTTATTGTAAGAGAGTTCATTCCGGCCACTGATCCAGGACATAACACTACGCCAACCAACCCCATTCTCCCCTGCTCATTTCCGATACATGGACAATGACTTCAAACAGTTAAGACAAACTTAAAACAAGAAAGACAAGGCAGTCACAACATGTTTTCAACTATAAACTCTTTTTAATGATCATTACAGAGCGTAATGCAGTGAACAAACCAGCAACGCAGTGAACAGACTGGCAAAACAAAGATCTGGAACCAGGATTGTACATGTCAGTTCTAGCAGTCACCATCTCAAGACATCCTGCTTCTGAAACTGGTGTTACACTAAAAGTGGACCCTCAGAAATGGAGTAACAAAGACACAGAAGAAAGCATCCTCCTGATTTTCTGCTCCAGTTCATCAATCAGAAGCTTCAGAGGTCTACATACTTATCTCCAGATTCAAATTAAAACTTCTGAAAAATAACTGTGCACTCATCATTTTATCATCCACAACCACCTCACTGCATCTCTCAACCCCAATAATGCAAATGTGTAAAATAAAGAAGAAGAAGAAGAAGACTCAAGGCACAAATATGAATACTGCAAAAATTGTAACACTATGTTACAAATCTGTAATGTGAATACATCTTTAAAATTCTCTACTTATCATTTTTCAAAAACACAAATGGACAAGAGATTAGAGTTTCTTTTTTTGGGGGGGGCAACAGGCTGAAATCGAGATAAAATTAAACTGAACCTGCGGACAGAGCACAGTACCGAACACCATGTCCTTCATAGCTACAACTAAGTAAAAACAGGTCAAAGGATCAATAACTCCTTTCAATAATACATTTATGCATAAAACACTGTGGGCATGTGCCAATTTAGTAATACAGGGATTGGATAGAAGGCTGAACCTCCTAAACCATGAAAACGTTTAATACGATACTAATAATGACAATTGAGGGTGATGTACATTTCTACTAGCTTACTAGTACAAGATTTTGCAATTTGCACACTGCAAACATCTTTATTAACAAAGGTTTATACTGCCTCGCACAGTGCGGTGTTGGTAGCTTTCAATCATGGTTTTGTAGAGATGAAAGCTCAACACAATTACATATAAAATGGCAAAGATAAACAGATAATTACAACTGAAGTCAAGGTGAAAAAATATAACAATGTATTGCAATATTAGAACACAAGATCCGACAGTATTGCCACAAAATACTGTTACCCAGTGCCTGTAGATCATAGAATACTGTGCCCTAGTCAGGTGGAAATCTGGTAAATGTTACTTGTAATGGTGTCGACACTCAAAAATAATCCTGACTGTTACACCATGAATCACAGTTTGATGTTTGTCTCTCGTTACTTGGAAACGCTCAAAAGGGTGAGGAGAAAAATCTGATTTCGCACCAAACTAAACCTGACAGGAGTGAAATCAATGTTCTGGGGGGAGGGGGTTGGTCAGAAAGCTCAAATTAACACTTCTATACAATTATTTATACTTTGTGTTTGATGCCCAGTTAGCTCAGTAATGTACCTTAACGAGTCACAGCAATTTTCCTGCACATTCTCTCCCTCTCGCCCTACGATCAAATTGGAATAGAAAGGTAGGAGACAAGTTTACAATCTACATTTTTACCACAGAAAGCTTTCAGAGGCAGAGGCAGAATGCAAAGACACAGAACGAGGGAGAAAATGAGGACTTTGGCACCAGGAATCTCCTTCATTTCAGCATTCTAGAGTGGAACAGAATGGGCCTACAGATTCTTCATCCCCACTGGTCAAATGTTTATGGTTCATGTAACCTCTAACCCTAATAAACAGGCCTGATCAAACACAGACTTTAGTCTGTGGGTTTAAGAAAAAAAAAATATATGTAAACAACATGAGACTCAGCACTAGGGATTACTTCAGACAGGCGTTCACTCATACAGCCCATGCTTCGGCACAATGGCTCAGCTTGGTGCTCAGCGAGGACAGCCAACACGAGAGCACCTCCAACAGGCAACAGCTAATAACTGAAAAATCTCAGAGCACATTTGACTGTATTAGATCAGTAGCTCTCCGTTCTGCTCCTGCAGGCCCCCCTGCTCTGCACAGTTTGGTGTTTTCCTTGCTTTAACACACCTGATTCAACTCAGCTAAATCAGCTTATCAAGTGTGTACAGGGAAAACACTAAAATACACAAGGACCAGGACTAAGTACCACTACACTAGATCATAGGGATGCACGACGATATGGGAATTATGCCTAAATATGGAATATAACGATTATTGGCAGATAATTATTTTAGAAAAATATTATATGCACTGGACAAATATTTAGAGGTGATTGATATTTTAAAATCTGTTGCACTCTGGATGAACACAACTTTCAGGTGATGCTCGGATGCTAAAATGTCTGCATTTTACTGCATTTGTAACCCTACAGACAGCATTTTGGCCACTGAAGTTCAGACAAAAAGCAAAAAAATGATATGTTTCGGTATTGGCAACAGCGCATATGTACATTAAAAATACCGGATATCGGCATTTGCCCAAATTTTCCCATATTGGTACATCCCTACTAGATCATCCTGCGCAGCCTATGGAACATAGAAAAATTAGCCAGCATTCCCAAGATCTTTTCCAGCACTTTACAATTAGGCTACAAGAATGTCTCGGCTACAGGGACACTTAAGCCAGTGCTACAAAGGGCACTGCTGATATGGTCAGATCTTTATGGAAGATGATGTGTGTTTCTCTGAGTCTCCACACACACACACACACACACACACACACACACACACACACACACACACACACACACAGTAGTTCTGTTTAGGACAGATATGATAAATTAACAAAGTTATCACTGGCAAAGAAAAAAAAACAAAAAAATAAAGCAACTTATGGTGCATCAACATCTCCAAAGTAAGACTATAATACAAAGGCAAACAAAATGTACAAAAAGCACAGCCCACAGTTTGCTTTCCCACAGCTTTGAGTGCTCAAAACAAAGTCTTCATCTCCTGAACTCAGTTCTGATGCCTTTCAAGAGTGATACTGACATCACTCTCTCATCCAGGCCCAACTCATGGTCAGACTAGAGTGCAACATCACAACGTACTTCATTACACAGAGCTACATCATCATTCACTCATTCATTCACTCGCTATATGCACAAGCAGTTACTTTCACATACAAAAATGCCAAACCCAGTAAAAGGTATTCTGGCTTTTAGCAGCTGTGAACCCCACTGACCAGCAGGTCTTCTTGTGAATGACCTGCAAAGACACTTTACTCCTCTAACTCCCCACCCCTTTTCTTGTTTCATCTGTACAGTGCACTTTAAATGAGACAGGAAGAAACTCCTATAAATTACACAGAAGCAAGAACAAAAACATTAAATGATACAAAACTAAAAAAATTGTGGCAACAACAAAAAAGTAAGGCATGCAGCTGATATTGGTGTTCTGCTTTGTTGTTTATATATGTATGTATATATGTATTCCGTAGATCCCCATACCCCAAGTAATATTTTATAGTAAGTTTTATAATCCTTGATTCAAAATGTGTCTAACCATCTAAAGGAATAGAAAAGAAAAAGAACGAAAGAAAGACAGACACTTAGCTGCCAAAGTAAGAGTGTATGTGCACTGGAATGATGGGCATCGTTACAGGACTAAGCAACAGCATCATTAAAGAGGCAGGTATTTACAGACCAGTCTGGATCATGCAAGCGCTCACAGCAGTCCTCTGCACAGCCAAAAGAAAAGCAAAACAATGACGCTCACATGACAAACACCACTGGAGTGCCCCCAAACGCATCTCAACGCATAAAAGACAAAAATAAATACAAAAACAAATAAAATTAATAGAAATTTACAGTACATACACAAATCATCCACAGAATTTTTTTTCTGCAGAAGGAAAAAAAAATACTGTGTCTTAAAATACTATAGTATGATACAAAACGTGCTGTAAAATGTCTATTGGCGTCTAGGCTGCTGCTGAACTGTAAAACTGAGCTTTCTACATTGTCAGCACAGATGGAAATGGAGACACAGAGTGATAATAGCCTAGGAAAATCAGTTAAGGCTTTGCAGTAAACATCTGATTTGTTGACGCTGGCACTACCTGCCTTTCTCTCTCCCTCGATTGTTTTTCGTTGGTTTTCTTTTCCCATTTTTGGTAGCGTGATGTGATTCGAGTAGCTAAAGCCAGTATGAACACAGAAACATGCAGCGGGACACGCACAGGCACACGCTTACAAAAACATGGGTATGACCCAACATACACACAACCACACACTCACAATCAACTGTTCGAGTATTCAGGCCTTTAACCCCTTGTCTCTTGGTTTTAAGGTTACTTGGCAGCAGTACGTACATCATGTTGTGGTCACGCACCCCTCTCCCCACTCCACGGGTGCTGGATCATATTCGGGTATCGAGGGACAGGTGAAAGACAGGTGAATGGAGGTGGAGTGGTCAGTACTCTGTGATGGGGGCCAGCTCAGGGCTCAGGTTAACAGTGATGTTCTTATACAGACTACTTAAAGAGATTTCCGGAGAATACTGCAGATTATTCAGGCCGTCCAGATGCTGCCTTTCTTTAGAATACCTTAGCAACTTATACCTGAGAGAGAGAGAGAGAGAGAGAGAGAGAGAGAGAGAACACGTACACGTCAGCATCTTCTGTGCATACAGGATGAGAAGCTGTATGTAGAGTATTGCACTCACTACTGCAAATAATGTGTGTCAACAGTGGGTCGGTGCACTGAAGGTTACACATGCTTAAACATAGGAAGGTACACAATTTCAGTTTAAGCTTAAAGCAAATTAAGCCTAAAACAAATAGACTGTCATTTACAGGACTTGAAGCAAGGAAAATTTCTGTGCCTTGAACGTCTTTGGGGGTTAGGAGAAAAAAATGGAGGGAAGTGGGATGGGTTCACAGAATGAATAAATAAACAAACTGAATAGGAACATACTTACTAACAAAACTGAAACAAACAAACACAATAACAAATAGTACAATAACAAGCTGTGCAAGACAAACAATGTATGGTAATTAGTCCAAACACGACTTTCAAAGCCATAAAGAAAATCCAATACGCCTGTCCTTCAAACTTATCATCGCTTGCTCCCCTGTGGGTCTCTAAACAGCATGTGCAGCATACTGTTTTCAAATGACTGCCAAATTAGTCTAAAATATTGCAACGATATGAAAGCAAATAGCCTAATAATTGCAGAGCTTTCTTAAAGTAGAGCAGTCATGTGCATTATCAAGCTGACACTTAGCTGAGCCACAGTATGCACAAAGATTTTTGTAATTATGTAGGTCTACTTCATTAGTACAATAGAGTTCTTTATGACTACATACATACATACATACATACATACACTTGCCAAAATACACAAGAATATTCCACAGACATATAATTAAACAGTAAGCCATTGAGAGGTCGCGTGTTACTGCAATTTTATCACTGGGAAGGCAGTTCACGATGGGGAGCATGAGGAGCATTTCGTCGAATATTTGGTCATCATTGTATTTACCATCATGTCATGAACTTTTAAACTTTGTTACATAATAATGAGCACATCATAACGTACTACTGTTTAATGCAACAACCTTCACCCTAAGTACTTTTTGGTCACTAAATTACCACCCTGAGGCTTATTTAGCACCAAGCTAACGGCGCCCCTTTTTATCCCCCCACTGGGATTGAATCTCACATGGCTCCCTACTCCCTACATCGTGCACTACATAGGAATTTAAATAGTGGCTCCTACGGCCTAACAGTTTTTCACAGCACTGTATTTAAGGCGGATCTGACTGAAACACAGGTATGAATCATATAAGCCATTCAGGTGATATTCTTAACGTTTTTATATTGACTTTTACAGTGAATCATATCATAAGTACTTTAATTCACGCCTGTAATATTATTGATGGAGTTGTTTAGCCTGTTAGCTAGCTGCCCAGCCTGGTACTAGCTAAGAAAATAAGTTGTCAGCTCCTCAGTGGTCCACGTGAGCAGCATTAGCACGTGACGTGACGCAGTAATACAGAATTCAGTTGTTGTGAGGCGGTCACAGGTGTGCTTATATCAAGTATTTTAGGACCAGAACTCTCTGTTTTGTAATTACACATTTTTTAACCTAAAATGATCCCGGCTTCCCGCCAGAATTATCGCACTATGCCAGAGAACTTAAAGCCATGTATTAATTCATTATCCATTTCTTCAGCTCCCACAACAATCGCTAGTTCTACATATTATGAGGTTCGCAGAAAATAACATGAAACTTTATATTTTGGTTGTGCAAGACACACAAAATGTGTTTGAGAAAAAGAGCAAGCAGACAAATGCAATGTAGCAAACACAAATAAGAAAACTAACCTTCCAAGAAACTGCACTTCTCCTCTGTGGTGATGTGGAATTGATTTGTATTTGCCAATCTCCCCCTCAGGCCTGGTCACATTAAATCCGGCAAAGTGTACCCTGGAAAGTACAGAGTAAAATTCCATATCACACAGTGACGAAACAATGGGAACATGTGTACACTGTATGAACATGAGAACACCCAGTATTATGTATTTCTTTATTTTTTTAAACTAATGAGACCAATGAACCTGGTATGAGGTCTAATTTAAATCTGCCAGAGAAGTTACGTCACATGTGTGTCCCCACTGGCAACAGAAAAATCATTTTACAAATTTCAGCATGTAGAACCACAGATTTGTGTGCTGCTGTGTTGTCCATTACTGTATAAAAGATGCATGACGTTTCCTTTATTGTTTTGAAGCACCATACTTCTGAGCGTATGAGCTCATTTAGAGCACAGCTTGGATCAGTGAGCAATTATTATTGATTTAAATCAGAGTAACAATAAAGTGCAACAACTGTCGCACTTAAGCCTTATTCAAGCTGGATTAGTCTGTACCAGAGAAGGATGGGTAATATAATTTGTGCATGATTTAACTGGCCAATTCACATGGAATAAAGTATCTGTGTAATTTCCTCAAATAGCTTGGATCACCGTGTGGACGTTTATGTCAGAATTATAAGACAAGTGCCACACTTCCAAACAAATAACATGCTGAACATACTGAACTGTGTCACAAATATTCTTAAAACTATTTTTGTTGACTGGTCAAAGTGCTGTGAAAGTGAAACTTACTAAAGCCGGCTAACAAGACAGAAAATGTATTACATTTCATTTTCAGTCACCCTGTAATTTGACCATCACCAAAAATGTGGATTTCATTCTTCTCATGAACTTGAGGATTACACATTTGGTTCAAATCAAACTCCATTTCAGCTCTTAGCCTTGTCTTCACAAAAAAATTTTCTGTGACATCATTTCGAACAGGACTACATTACTGAGAGAGCTCAGTAAATTACAGAAGGCAAGTCACTCTGGAATTATTATCCAGAAATAATTATTACTTATCACACTTGGAAAAACTACAGACATTGCAGAATTTGTGATCTTGGGTTTGTGTGAATTGCTCCGCCATGAAAATCCATTTCAAGTATTTTCATTTTCCACCTTAAAGCAGTTCCAGACTGTAGACATTTAAACTGCTTTTCTACCTTCTGAAAATAGCTATGTAGGACTGCTGCAAGTTGTAGAGGATATCCGTTTATGATGCCGCACGAGATTTGGATAAACTACATTGTGTTGGATAAACATTTGTAAAAAACTAAACTAAAGGATCGGACCTGGACTGGGCTTATTTTAACTGAAACTGATTCATTAAAATTTGCCTGAATGTTTAATGAATTTAATAGCTCTAATAGGACAGAATAAGACATTTTATGACCTAAAATTTTTCAATTCTACTTTAACACTTGAGACTTTAAGAATTTGCAGGAAATCTGCAAACATACACAATGAGCCAATGTACGGCATTCTTGGAAATCAAACTTGGGTCCGGTGACTGATAGTGGCTTGTGGGCCTCTGTGCTTTTAATCACACGCACCTGTTCCAGAGGTCATCGTCCTCCCCTCCCCAGCCCCAGAATGCATTGGGAAAGCCGTTGATCTTGCGGAACTGCTCCACCGTAAGTCCACTCACTCCTCCAAAGAACTCATTGTAGGGCAGGCTGAAAACAGACACAAACACATTTTTTCATGCCATCAGACAAAGTTTGAGTCCGTACCTAACCACAACAAGAGTAAAAATGACAGCTTTGCCATCAGGTATCACCTTAAAGTGCCAGGCAACAGAGCAAGTTCACTACAGCACAGAATTATGGACTCATTCAGTACTAAAAGGGAATAATACCATCACCACTCGAGACAACATACTAACTGAGTAAGCTTAACTGAACCACGCAGGGCTTTCTCTACCATATCAACTGCTATAGACAGGCTTGATGATACACACTACACACAAACACAAAGTGTATCCTTACATCCTGAAAGATCTGCAGGGTTCTAAGTGGAAGAACAATGTCTATACTTCTAAGTAATTATTCACTGAGGCACACAGCACCACTGCTTCATACAGAAGACAATACGGAATGTGCGCTAAAGAGGCTCATTTTAGCTCATCACCTTGCCTACAAAACTGTCAGAATGCAGCTGAACTGCTCCTACGGTTTAAAAGCTCAACCTCCTGCTGCAAAGAAACTATAACAGTACAATTCTAAATGCATGAACGAGAAAGGAGGAAAAAAAAAAAAAGGCATGAAATGTGATGAATGAATACAGCGCAGGAACAATTTCCTCTAACGTACTTACATGTACATATACTTGTCGAGCTTTGTAGCGAAGTGCCGAGGCATCTGCCCACAACCATAATAATTTCGGTCATTTTCAGGTATATGATCGACATCGTGGAACACCACACAGTCCCAGTCCAGGTCTTTCATTGCCTCCTTGAAGCCCACATTAAACAGCATGGCGCGGTTAAATGGCTGTGTACCTGCCTGAAAACAAACACAGCATCCAGGCTATTATCTGACCTTTTACGACAGGCTGCAAAACATAAAATAACACCAAGGGTTAAAGAGGGGTTCGCAAACAATCACACAAAAAATAACAGACTGTTTTTGGCCCACAAAGCTATGTAAGCATTATTAGTTGATAAAACAGGAAAATGCAGAACATGAGTTCTTTATCAGCTGTTTCACAGACAGTGCGCAAACACACCAGCAGAGGACACCAAAAGCCAACGCAGCAGAGGGCACCACCTCCCAAAACGAAATTCCATACTGCTGGCTGTGTGCTGCTATGTATGATAGTGTGCGAGACTGTCTGCATGTTTGTGGGAATACCTGTTCAATGACATAAAATGCAAACTGCAAGCGCTGGCGCTGCAGCATAGGAGCGAGGTGCTGAAACAGGATGGGGAGATGTTCATGACGATTCCTAAAGGGGATAAGAATTGCCACCTGATCGAAAGAAAGAGATAGAAACAGGGAGGAGAAAGAAAGAAGAGAAATACAGAAAGAAATGAATTCATTCCCTGACATCTAAGGATGTGACCTAGAAGTATCAGAGCTCCATGCAGGGACACTAAATTTTATGAACAAGAATACTGATAAGAGAATAATCTCCCCATTATTCCCACTGTGTTCCTCTAAAGATGTTAATTTTGAACAGAACAAACCTTAAATGTTAAAGCCATCATAAACAGACACACACCTTCCAGCGTGGTTTGCAGTCTTCAGGTCTCCAGTGACCCCCAGACTGAATGCCCAGCTGTCCAAGGCTCAGTTCAACCTCCTCCATAGGAACCTCAGTCATGTTTATTTCCATAAGACCCTCTGCAGAGGCAGAACACAGCAAGGCACAATACACATCAACTTTCTCCAAAATAACAGATAGCAGGACAAAGTTTTTTTGTGCTGTGAAAAGCAGAATGAATACAAACACATTGGGAGTTTAACTACGATCAACTGTACCATCTCTAGAACAGGACTTAAAAGCACAATAAAACTTTTATTGTACAGAATATAATTGGCAGTTTATGGCCAAGAGAAAAAAAGGCTGAAAATTTGCTGAAAAAAAGTAAGAGAATGCATAGTGTCCAATTTTAAAATTTAACCAAAGATTTCTGTTGGATGAAACCATGTGGTATTACATTTTTATAATTTTATAACTTAATAATTTCTATTATTTAGCAAGCTGTTTAAAATGAAATTAGTCCTCTAGTATTCTATCAGTTCTCTTTCCCAACATGGCAATTATAGCCTTTGAAGCATCTTCAGTATCATATTATTTCAAAAGCATAAATCAAATTACATATAAAAGAAGCCTTCCTTTCCATTTCAGGTTTTCAGGTGTGTCAGGAATTTCAGTTTTGGTCAATAATTTTTATTTTAAAATTAGAGAAGTGCAATTAGTGCACATGTGCCTGAATCAGGTTCACAATATTGGCCTCTCTGATAATATATGCAAAAGACCACAAGTATTAGCATCTACTGCTCAGTTGTTCCACTCTGGAGTAACTGGTGCATCAAGAACTCCTGGTTAAGTCAGAGCTCACGTCACACTGAGCCACCACAGATGTCCCAATGATTGTCCTGGCATCTGAGAATCATGTTTGTCTGAATCTTACATTATCTTTAACTGTCACATGCATTTGAAGTCTTAAACTATGGAGTAAATATCACATGTGTGTTCAGGACAAGTGATTGTGAGCAGGCCCCAGGATCCTGAAAACCCTTTTAAGGAAGTCTGTCATTAGATAAGTGGGTCATAATCACTAAACAATCAGCTGTTGGCATGACTACGAAACTCATATGAAGATTTTCCCACACTGCAGTGTATCGCCAACCTCCATTTAGGATAAATGAGGGAAAACTGAGAGGCTGTGCAAACAGACTGTCTCTCCCCTTCCCAGGCTCTCACGGGAAGACCTCAAACTGCTGAAACTCACTCATAGAAGGTAATCGCTCAGGACAGGGCAGATTCTGAGCGTAAGTGAAGTTCTCGGGGAGGTATGTAGTCGGCTGAACAAGATATTCACTGGAGTTATTCCCATCTGGATAATCTGCATACCGAAAAACCACACAAAGAGATAACATTTTCAAGCTTGTATTTCCAATCGCTTAGCCTCATAGCAGCTTTTATGTATTAGTGTAAACTCTCACCTGTGCCATTGAGCGTGCTGTTCTTATTGGTGTACGATCTGATCATCTGACCAAACGTCCGCACGTTGTCCCGTAACATCATACCCTGAGCCTGCACCATGAAGAAGTATGTGTTGGCTGAAAGCAGAACCAGAGAACAAGCTTAAACAGGGATGAAACACTACGACATACTGTATTGTATAAAATTGTTTCACAGTGCATCACACTATTGTGGAAAATCTAAGGTAACAGACTATTTTAAGGCTTTAATAATGAGTGTATTTAGTAGTTGCAAAAACAACAGATTTTAAAAAGCTCTGCCTAATGTTATTTTAATAAACATGAACAGACAACACGTAGGGTGGTTCTGCCTTTTCTGGCAGTGCATCATCCAGAATAGCGCCTGTGTGTTTTCTCTTCAGCTGCTCGTGCATCGCGCGAGTGCTGCTGTGGTATGCCACTGAAACTTTTCACAGGGTGCAAACCAACTTGTTGTTTTGTGCCAATCTAAAGTACTCCAATACTTTCGACATCTTGGGTCTTTGGAAATCTTTATAAACCTCTTTCGTAACTGAGTCGAAAGCTGCAGCCGAATATAGCAGACCAAATGACTAGAGCCAAAGACTACTAACTCTTACATGCAGCAGTTACACATCGTTATTTAGGAAAAACATTTGTTATTTGAACAATATTTTAACAATATTTGAACAGTTTTAGAAATGAAAAAGGTCAATTTATTAAAAAAAACATACAATTAAAATGATGCACTGGTTTAAAATTCATCAAAATTATTTGATTCTGACTCATCATGGCAGCCCTAACCCTTAGTATCGTGTAGTTGTATCTAGAGCTGGGCGATATGGCCAAAAATCTTATCACGATGAAAAATTTCATATCAGTCAATATCGATACATATAGCAATAAATGTCAAATCATTATTCTTTCAAGTTTGAAGGCAACTTCAAAGTGAACCCACTTCTTTCATTCACTTTTGTTGCTTGGGAATGCACTAATACTAAAATAAGTCTGAAGTTGTATGGAGCAGACGTGATTTAATGCTGCTAAAGCTTGTTAGGATGTTACGAAAGAGCAGAGTTCGCTCTGGGACAGTACAGTTACGCCACTTATCCCGTCACTCACACTTGGTCACAGGAGAACAGATCACTGATCGCTCCACTCAGACAGGGAACATATAACTCCACGTTTCAGATGTTGCTAAAAGTGCATCTGGCGACTCATTTCCCTTGTCCCCCCACTCTATAGTCATGTCGAAAAACACTGAAGTGGTGACTGCAGAGTAGCATCGCTTTCTTGCAGTAGAACGTAGAAAGCTGATGCTAGAACATGGAAGTGTGAGAATGCTCTATTATACTGAATATTTCCTATAGTTCTATCGAGGAAAGTTATATCGTGATAATTATCATTATCATTTTATCGCCCAGCCCTAGTTGTACTCCTAAATTTAAGTACAGAACCTACCATTTCTCAGAGAAAACAGGATGTGTCTGGGCATCAACACTGCCCAATCAAGCTGCCTATGCTATTCTCTGGTTCTACTGATGTGAGTCACAACGGTGGGACTCCTTGTGCTCAAGACAAGGCATGCCAACATCTATTATCTAAAAATCTAAAAAGCTGTTCATTTCACTTTCACATGCTGCCAACTATGAACTCATAGGCCTGATATCGGGAAGGCTTTCACTTCTTTTCACACAATTGATTAAACAAAATAGCCTGTTATTTTGTGGTGCCTCTCCTTCCAGACTCTCATTCAGTTGATCCCTGGACACTAAGCAAAGCTATCAGCCATTTAGAGAAGTACAACTGAAACCTTGCCTGACTGCAGCAACGACTGAACAGAACTACGGCTGAACTTTCACACAACATGGGCTACGCGCTTAAAACAGATCTTCCCAGTGCTCAGCTTTCAGGGCCTCTCAACCTCAACAGACTGGTTTTTAAGCCACTTGCCACAGCAGACAAGCACAAGTCATCTCAGCTCTTGTGTTGTTGGTAAATTGTGCAACAACCTGATTATGATTTGTCATCGCATTTTTTTTCAATGCAAACGTGAACGCAGCATTAATCCAGTTAAATCATTAATATCTACAATATGCTCAGAACAGGGATGTGTATTGGTACTTGAGCATGGCATGAATACTCTGGTAACCACTAGAGACGACTCGAAAGTTGAGCTGCTGCTCGGGTATTTGTTACATTTCTTGACAGGAACATGGAGGAAATATAGTGACTAACAATCATGTTAAATGCTTATTTTATGTTTTAACAAGACTGTGAAATGTGGAGAGTTTGCTCATTTTTGTGAGTGACAATGTACATTACACTCTGCTATCCCGAAACAGTGTGTCTTAACGTGAGCGCATTGCCAAGGATGCGGCGTTAAGAACATGACAAAGAAGCGTATTTACATGCACTCAATAATCTGATCACTGCAGAAAATCAGATATTGTCAGTAATCCGTTCAACGCGTTTACATGCACTTGGGTAAACAGATAACAGGTAAACTCCTGGTCTTCACGAGTCAGACAGTAATCAGATTTCTGACCAGCCAAACAAACACAAAGAAGACGTTGTACGTAAATGTAATGTAAAACTCAAACTTAATTAAATTCTTAATTTCAAGCATGTAGCTGGATTCAGTGTCGCTTCAAAAGTATTTTTCTTGTCAGCTCACAGGTGCCGTGTTAAACGCGGGACAGCAGTCTATTTTCGCACATTTGCAGACTGAGAAAAACAGAAATCAGAGTAACACATGCACTGAAAAGACTAATTACTGAGCTAAAATCAAGCTCTCTTCATTGGATTTTTATGCCTTAATCTAATGTAGGAAATTGAAGTATACTGTTTACATGACAGCTTGAACAGTCAAACAACTGCCAAAACCCGGATTAATAAGTGCATGTAAACGCAATCACTGAAAATATATATTTTTTCTAACATGTTGATGTTGGTATATTGTCTACTGAGAAGAAAAGACCATGTGTAAAATGAAGTAATCTCCATCAGCATCTAGCGTTTAACCGTTCAGCTCAGTAACAAACGATTACCCCTGAACAAGAAAACCTATGAAGTTCCCCTTAACTACATTTTCAAATGTATTTGCATGCGACAAATTTCCTGTGCAACATGAATGCAGTCACCAAAAAAGGAAAGCTTACAGCCCCACATTAAATTTAAGCCAAAGTTTGTTTTCCATCCCTCGAATAGCCGATTATCCCTTCACTGACCCTTAAGAGTACTCAAGTATCAAATTACTTGGAATACACATATCTACAGGATCCTTATAGGCGGAGGTGGTGCCACCTTGATCACGCATATGTGCACCTGTACCGTGCACTCAACTGGCTCAAGAAAACCCCTTTTTTACAAGCAGTTTATTTTAGATGTTCTAATAACAAAGTAATTATTTTAATTTTTATTATTTTATATTAGTTTTTCATAACTCACAGAGTATTTTTTTTGTACAAGTGCTACCCAGAGCTGTAACTAGGATTTTTAAAAATGGTGAGGTCTTTTTTGCAGAAAAGTGACCCACAAAGCAGTTACTTAAGTAACTGCCAAATTTGTATTACAACATTGTCAGTTTCTCCTTTACATTTTTAACCAAATGCTCCTTTTTTATCCATCCATAATTGTCATGTACTTTTCCCATCCCTCCAGTCTCGCTATCCTGTTTCATTTTATTTAAGTGATCATTTAACTATTTATTTACACTATTTACTATTTATTTATTTTCAGGTGAAAATACATACTGAAACCTATATATGCTTACTCAGTTGACTGCATTTTATTTATCTCTCTCTGTCTCTCGGTTTCTGTGCCTCTCTCTTTTGCTCTTTTCCCTCTCTGTCCTCACAAATTAGGCATATGTTAAAATATTTTATAAAAGATCTGTCTCTGCCAAACCCCGGCTAATGGGAAAGAGGATACGCATACAGCTAACTAGACAAAATACAGCCAAATGTATGTCATGTGGGTTGCATTTTACAACCATAATCTGTTAATTACCCTCATAAACTCTCACATTATTATAGCCATGTTGTATGCTAGCCTATAGTATGTGTGCCGTATACCTGTAACATTACAACTCAAGAAATCAAAGTTGCTCTGGGTAGCATTAGCGTAGCGTCTCATACAGTGAGAGATAAACACAGCGGTCAGTTCAGTCTACAGCCAAACCACTGTTGTTCTGAGGTCGGCTGGGATCCAGTCACTGCTGATTGTGTAGTCTCGTCTACCTCAGTAGGACCTTTGTGTCCTCATTGCTAGTTATGGCCATCCTTTTACTGCTGCTCCAGTTCTGGCAGCACCCTGTCTGATGCACTGTGCTGATTACGGTACAGCACCCCAACATGGCAAAACGCCACTGAGTGCATTGCCTGTTAGAAAACAGTGTCTTCCATGAAGATACCTGTTAGAGGTTTGTTGAGAGATGGAGGTGGCATGAATATTTTACAGAGGCAAAAATGTAAATAAAAACAAAATGGAATGCCGTGCAAATCATTTAACTTCTATATTTAATTGAAAATAGTACAAAGACAACATTTCAAATGTTAAAACTGAGAAATTGTTTTTTGAAAAATATATGACCATTTTGAATTTGATGACAACAACCAACAAAAGGTTGGTAAAGTTGTGTAATGCTAAAAGAAAAACCTAGTGGTTAAGTGGAAACAGGTTAGTAACATAACTGGGTATAAAAAAAGCATCCCAGAGAGGTGGAGTCTTTCAGAAGTAAAGATGAGGAGGGGTTCACCACTCTGTGAAAGACTGCACAATCAAACAGCACAACAATTCAAGAATAACGGTTCTCAACATAAAATAGCAAAGAACTTTTGCTTTTCATCATCTACGGTAAAAAATAACATTAAAAGATTCAGAGAATCTGGAGAAATCTCTGTATGCTAGGGAAAAGGCCAAAAACCAGTATTTACTGGCCATGATCTTTAAGGCCTCAGGCAGCACTGCATTAAAAACAGACAGGGTTCTGTAGCGGAAATCACTGCATGGGCTCAGGAACACTGCTGAAAACCACTGTCTGTGAAAAGTTTGTCGCTGCATCCACAAATGCAAGTTAAAACAATAAAACGCAAAGAAGAAATCAATTATAAACAGGA